TGTATTATTTCAATTTCCGAATCAACCTACGCAAAGCTGCGATTTCGAATTAAGCACAAACAAATCTATAATTTATAATGCCCATGAAACTAAATACATTTTGTTTAATTTTTGGTTTTTGTTGTACAAATACGCTACACTCGTCAAGCCAACAAGGTATTTTTTATTTAAAATGGGGCTCCTCCCGTTTATGAATATTATGGATTATGGCGCAGAGCGGAGTTATTGTCGTCTGTGAATAAAACGGCCTTAAACGAAAAAGGCCCCATATACGATCAAATTATTTTATTGTGTCAATAATATTAATGTTCATCAATAATTAATATCAAAATGGTTTTGATGTATTATTTTCAATATCGGTACACGGTCGACAATACTATATTTATACAATAAAAATTGATTATTGATCGTGTATAAGGTCCCTTATTCCGTGATTGGGCCCTTAAATAGTTTTATGTCTAAAAGATCTTTTGGATCAGAACTCTGATTCTAAATAGCGAAGACGGTGCTGGAAGCCTGGATAATTATCACAGAATAAAATTATAATAAATATTATAATACAAATTTTGTTTTGTGTAATTGTTATTAATTAATTTATTATTATCCAGTAGTAGATAACACCACGTTATCGTTGTCCGTTGATAACCAAAGTTTCCAAGGAGGTCTTAAACTGTTCAACACCACGGTCTCGGGTTCTCCTACTTCTCGTTTTCCGTCGCACAATCCGTACAGCACTGGAGTCTAGACGGGGGACGAGTGGATGACGCTCAGCACGGGCGCGCAGCAATAACAACACACTCACACAAACATACACCACGAGACATCCACACGGGGACGACGGCGACACGGCGTGTGAATCCGCGTTAATGCGTAGTGATCTCAGCGGCGATTGGTTAGTGGTTAATTTTTGCGACAACTGGCATTGTCAAGTGTTAAAATATAGTAATTAATACCGAGTACTGTTTGTGCACCATCGGTTTCACACATTTCGTCCGACGAATCAATGCGGTCACGACCCGTTAGCTGCTGCCGAATACGACGAAGGTAAATATAATAATATGTGTTTATAGTCTATACCTACCTATATAGTACCTACCTAGGACTATGTGTAATAATAATGTAGTGTAACGTAACTTGTAAAATATACGTCATAACTCATAACATAATAATAGTAATAATAATAATCGTGGGCCGCGTACATTTCTGTATAATATAATATAATAATAATATAGTCTCAAATCGAGCGCTTCCAACGCGTCTATAGTATACTAATAATTGTCCATGAGCGAGTCGTGGGCGCCCGGTGACAGGGGTGAATGATCAAAATTCGATCCACGACCCCGTTTTTAAGGGTTGCGAGATGGAAATAGTGTTATCGTCGAAACCGTTTGTCAGCCGCGGGTGTACGGCGCCACCCGTAGGCGAATAATTGTATCGCTGGCGCCGGCGGTCAATGAGTCGCCGCACGCCGTCCCGCTGAAGGTGACTGGCCCTTTGTCGTCATAACGTTTTTCCCGGCAAAAGTGCGACGGTGTGACTCACGCACACGGTGGCCGAGTGCCCGATACCTGTGAATCACCGGCACCTGTGTCTCGCCGCCGTGAGTGCTCTTGACCATTACCGCTTTTCGTCAATCGTCATCAGTACAGTTACGTCCGTCCGGTAGTCGAGTTTCGTGTGTTTCCGTCAATTTTCTTATTGTTTCCCCGACTTTTCGACATCCTTGCCCCGCTGATTGTTCGACGTATTCACGCCATGGCCGTTTTCAGATCGTAAGTTTTTGTTGTTTTCGAAAAATAATTGCTGCTAAATTCTTGTACAAGAGACAGGGCTGCCACTAAGTCACTTTTTCAACTAAGTCATTTTTTTTTATAAGTCTAAAAATCCCTTTTTTTTTTATTAAAAGTCACTTTTAATGACTTATTTAAAATATGATTGACAGTTTTCTTAAAATCAGCGTTTTTTATATAAATCTATGATATTGATAAAATGAGTTATATATGAATATTTTATGTCGTATATTAAATTGATAATTTTAATATTTTATATGGCTCATTTTAAACCATGGTTATAGATCTGCAACCGTTTTTTATTAATATAATCAACAATAAACAATGTATTGGTATACCACATCTGATATATTCAATAAGCAATTATTAAAACAATATTTTTGTATTCATTTTGGTAAACTTAAATTAAATCATAACCAAATTTAAATTACTATTTGTTCCTATCTGTATATGAAGCAACAATTGAAAAAAGACTGTTACTAAGAAAAATCTTTATTTATTAACATAAAATATGTTATTTGTTTTTTACGTATACTATTAAAATATTATATAAGAATACATTTTTAAAAAAATGGGGGACGGAGTGGCCGAGCAGTGCGACACAGCCTACACTGGCTTGAAACCTCAGTCATGGGCGGCATTTTCAGAGAACAAGTGCCCATCTGGGCATGGCAGATACCTGCGAGTGCCCAAACAAAACACACGTGTTCCTCCCCCTACCAACATAAAAACTTACAAAAAAACCAAAAACAACTAATGTCCATAGTTGCCAGGCTTCAGATTAAATAAAAAAAATATTTCAGTTAAATAATAATAATGTTTTAGGTAAGTCTTTTATTATTTCCATGCTGTAATGAATTTTATACTAAATTAAATTAATTTACTAATTTAATAATCTAAAATAATTATAAATAATTTTAATTAAAGAAGATTGGTCACTTTTTTAAATTTTTTAGTCACTTTCAACTACCTACTTCCAATTTTAAACTCTAGTGGGAACCCTGACCTCGCGTCTTGACATTTTTTTGTCTGGAACAATTTTTGATTGTGCAAAATATGATTTTCAATACCAACCTGTTAATTTATAAAGAGCACTATGCACTTTTTTTTGATTAGTAACAGTTGATTGCAAATATGGGTATTGCCCTAGTGCCCATCCATCAATTTTTTAAATGAAAGGATAAAAAACCACCAATTTTGGTAACTATACTATATTTTAATATAAATTACTATATAGGATCAATTCAATTTGGACAATCTAATTCCATTTTCTACAAAACTGTTTGAGTAGCGTAGTAACAATCTGGCACGCCAGTTAAACAGATAATTATAGCTAGGTATGTATTTTAGTCTAATCTTTCGGTTCTGTGTAGTATTTATTACACTCTACTATTTATTACTACTGCATTCTCTTGAATAGCCATGTGTTAACTGTTTATGTCAATATAAACTTGGATGATGGTTTTCATAGTATGGTAATCAAACAGTCCTAGTATACTTGTGGTAATATTATCTACATAATATCATACTTTTACTGATAGAAGTAATATTTTATATTTCCTCATAATTTTATTTAAATAAAACGTAATTAATGTCAAATTTAATCTCTGGTTTTATAATTAATTACGAATATAAAAGGTACCTATTGATTCTTTATAACCATAATATCCAGTCTATTCATTAGACACATATGGCAGAGATAAATAATTCTATCTCTTCCCTACCACTCTTATATCTACACTATTCTTACTACAAAATTAAATACTCTCGTCTTAAATGGTACATGCATGATTAACGTTATGAGTCAATAACCCCTTCCTTCTTTCCACTATACAAAATTCTATGATGCTATTTCCATATGTATTTGATATAGAACATGAGAGCATTTCTTATGTTCATAAATGATAAATCATAATATACATTAGATAATTAGGTACCACCAAAAAAAAATTAATTTTACCTACATATTTACATTTGTCCTTACACTTAATTCTCGATTTTAGAAATAAAAAATGTGATTCAAAGTTATTCTAGGTATGTAAATACCCAATATTCTTAATGATAAATCAATAGAACAATAATTGAAACAAATGATTAAATACCATGAATATTGATTTTAAATGCTAACTGTTTTATTCACCTATAAAGAATGTTAATCATTAAGGATGATATTAAAGATTATAGTGGTTATTAAAAAAGTTAATTAAGTATTAAATTAAAAATATAATATTGTATTTCTTATAAAAAATTTAATTTTTAATTATTGCCATTTACCTATGTCATATTTAATTTGATAATCTGATGTTGATGAACCTATCCATATATTATTGGAAATTGTTAAATGTTTTTACCTATCTCAAATGGTAATTAAGTATATTTCCTTATCTTTTATTATACAACACATTTGTGGTCCTTGATTTTTATGTATAAGGTAGGAAAGTAAGCAATGATACAAAAACTATTCTTTGTTGTGTAATCGAAAAAACCTAAAATCCTTGCAGATATAATATAATTATTTAATTTTATAAAAATGTATTTATGTGAATATTCTATACTTATAGGTTATTAGAATGTCACATCCACTTGTGTTTTTTACGTCCTACGAAAGTACAACCCTACATCATAGTAAAATTGCATTCAGCTAAATTAAGTTGATTTTTGTTAGTATTGAAACCGATTTTTAAAATGTTTTGCAATCGTATAAAGTTTGAGAATTATATTACTTAATGATTTAGGGGGTGAAGAGGGGAGTTAATATAGTGTATTATATCATCAAAAATCCTTGAAAGGATAAACTCTCATGTTTATCCATTTGGCCTATTATTTTTTATTTGAAAGATGAGAACTTTTTACAGATTAAACCTAAGCCCAAATTTGTATATTACTTAACTTTGTATAGTTCTAAAAAATATGTTTAAGAAATAACATACCTGACTATTGTGCACTATTCAAATGCATATCTTTGGTTTATTAATTATAAATTTGAAAATCAGGTGTTCATTGTATTCTACCTACCTATTTGATTTTATTGTTGATGTTGACATTTTAATTTGAAGTGAAATCCAATTAAAATATATGTTTCAAATTCCAAAAGACTATTGTATTTTTTATAATTCTCAGTGTTCATTAAACATTTTGATTAAAATGAAGTAAAAGAGAATTTTTTTTTATTTCAGTGGATGTATTCAGTGTTAAAAAAAAAATCATAAAATGAATAATTTAACTATTGAATCTGAAATTGAGTTAAAACAAGATCTTAAGAAACTATCATTAGAAGAACTTCGTAAATTAAAAGAAAAAATTGGAAATGAAGTGTACCAAAATGCTAAAACTAAAAAACCAAAATTAGATTTTTATCCTAAACCGGTTAAACGAGAAAACAAAAACAGACCATCTGAAATATCATCTAAAGTGGACCCTTCTTTGAATCTTGTCAAAAAGTATAAACCTAAAATTAAAACCAAAGTTGAAGAAACTAAAAGCATTGATCCTAGATTTGATTCTCTCTATGGTGAATTTGACAAACGTATTTTTGAACGAAATTACAAATTTTTAAATGATGTCAAAGAAAAAGAAAAAAAAAAGCTACGGAAGAAGTTGAAACAGAAGAGTCACGATGAAAAGAATGAGCAAGTTAAATTATTATTACAAAGAATAGAAAATCAAGATAGAGAAAAACAAAAGATGGAAGCTCAAGAAAAATTAAAATTGGAACAGAGACAAAAGAGATTAGATGCTGTTAAAGATGGTAAAAAACCTCAATTTTTAAAGAAACGTGAATCGAAAATATTGCAATTGGTTGGACAATATGAAGATTTAAAATCTCAAGGAAAACTCAGCAAGCATATTAAACAGAAGAGAATTAGAATTATTGGGAATGAAAAGAAAACAATGTTCAACAGTTCAATGGAATAATAATATATATTTATCATTATTGATTCATAAATAATTGTTGACATTTAAATATTTCACTTTGAGTAATATAATAACATACTGTCTTTCTTATATTATGCATTTCACTTTTTTCTTTTAAATTATGAATATTTAATGGTTCTTTATTTGCTTATCTTACAATTTATATTTAAAACTATAACATAATTGAAGGGCTATCAGAATCAGGGAATAAAACAGCAACAAACAAACTTAGGAATGATATTTTTCCGATATTTATAATTTCAGTAACACTTATAATCACTTATAATCTAATTTAAGGATACGTTTATCACACACAATTTAAATTTCTAAAACTATTAAAATCAGGAAAATATTTTTCATAACCAACTATTTAATGGTATATTTACCTAACCTACATAATAAATTTGCATACCTATTAATTAATATATAATAATATTATATTGTGTAAAATTACATATAATGTTCAACACTTCAACAACCTCATTGAAAAATAATAATAGTAGAATTACCTACTACAGCTGTAATTACCACACAGAAAACTAGGTTTTAATATTTTGTTATGAAGAACAAATAACCAATTAACATTATTTCACAAAAAAAGGATAGATAGGTAATATAATACAAAGCTTAAAGAGATCTATGTAGTAGGTTTATAATTACGGCTAGAAATAGACACCTCTAAAGGCTTAAGAGTTGAGGCTAACAAGTAACAACAGATCTAGGCCTGCATTTATTAATTGATACGCCGTGTCTTTGACCTCTTGTTATTACATACTACGGCAAGGATGTGTATCCAACCATTAGAACATCATGGCTCACCTTTCCAAAAATATGTTGTTTCAATCGGTATTTCTTAGAAAAGTAATAACAAAAATGAGGTGGTAAGAAACGGCAATTTAATTTGTGTTTCTTGTGAGCTTGAACATTTATATGCAAATGCATGTCCTCAATCTCTTAATTTTAATTTTAGATGGAACTGCAATTGATTAAAAAATTCCACCAAAAATTATTCTTTTTAATAAAAAGAAGAAAAAGGTCAATTATGTATGATTAATGCAGAGCTATACTGTTACGCCTAACTGCGAAGTGCAGACTGTAGATATTAATCTATAAATATATAGGTATATAGACTATAGATCATTATTAAATATTAATATAATTATATTTATATGTCTGTTGTAGATAGTAATGCTTTTGAATAAATGATTAATATGTTGTCTGCACCAAAATATTATTTACAAAACAAGCAACAATAAGTACTGTTAAATATATTTTAATTAATTGGGAGGATTTGAATTCTTCCTGGCTCTCAAATTTGGCACCCAGTGTACTCACCAGCCCCCTCCTCTAAATGTATGTACAGTTAAATGTAAAAACTAACATTTTAATTATAAAATTCAATAACCATTGCAATAAACTTTTAAAACTAAAAACAAAACAAAAGAACTTTTATTTTTTAGACTGCACATTATTCTAGCTTATTTATTGCCTACTGGTACACTACTTTCATAGGCAGATCGTATGATAAGAGATTTTTAATATCACAACAATATTTTGTTCTAATGGCACTAGTAAAGTTACTATTTTTTTTCATAAGTAGTTGTCTTAAGTTCATAAGTTGTCACATGCAATGAATGAATACTATATTTTCTAATTTTCTATGTGATAATATAATATATTATATAATATAATGTAATATATATATTATATTAATATTATAAATCATAAAAATTCAATTACCTAATTATTTATATGCACTTAAGGTACATATTTTTACACTATACTGTCTATACTTATTAGTTATTTCAATAATTAATTTTAACTTTATGGAATGTTACCCAAAACAACTGAAAAAAGCTAAGTTATATAAACTATCAATTAGAAAATGAATAAAATTTTATTTCCCATAACTCAAGTCATAATCTAACTTTGAAAAATTTACTATATTTTGTATTGTAGTGCCACAGATTATAATATGCGTAATAGACGTTATATTTTTTATTCTTTATAATATAAATAATAGTTTGTAATTGTTGAGCTATCATAGTTTAAACTAGAAGCTAATAAAAAAAAAGTAATATAAATAATGTAATGATAATAATAGAAAAGCAGATAAGTGGGTGTTGCTCTGATGCACAGTGGGTCACTATAATTGTGTATGGTCAATTTGAAGTCAATTATATATAATATTTTATATCAAAAACGATCTGAGCGGAGACGGTTTGTGTTTGTCAGCCTAGGATATTTTATATTATACATACCTATTTATATTGTTATTATTAATACGGTAGCTGGTAATTTAATTACAATTATTTTCATATTTGTATATCATAATTTTTAAGTACCCACTAATAATATTTCAAAAAAATAAAATCGTTTTTTTTAATTTAAATATCTAATTTTGTCCAAATTTTTGATCATAAAATAACTATAAAAAAACCGATTTTTTCACGTTGCCTTCGAAAACGACTGGGAATTTTAAATTTTGACCTCCCTAAGTACAAACTGGAATACTAGATTCACTTTCACATCGAACAAGATACTGAAGTTGAAAATCAAAGCATTATATTATTAATTATTATCGACTACTTATCGTGTACACGGACACAAAAATAAAACACATGTATAAAATAAACTTTGTAAAATAAAATACATTCATCACTCCGCTCAGAATCTAAAATATATTATCACAGATTTTATAAAACAGACATATACAGCTGAAATATTTGATATTATAATCTGTTTTATTATAATATTTGTCAGTTCCTGAAACGATTTGTCCTAAAAATAAAATTCCTGAAAATAATATTTCCTAAAATTGTATTTCCTACATATGAATAATTTTATGAAGTATCGTCAGATTTTTTTTCGTGCCTTTAAAATATTGGTCATGAATTTTGTCAATCCTAATTAATTTTATTCTTGATCATTATTTATCTTGATTTTGAAGCATTCCTGAAATTGACAGTTCTTGAAATGATTTGTCCTAAAAATAAAATTCCGGATTTTGATGGTTCCTGAAAATAATATTTCCTGAAATATTATTTCCTATATACCTATGAATATTTTTATGAAATACTGTTTCAGTTTTTTTTGTTTCTCCAATATCTCGATTCTCGGTTGAGAATGTAATTGAACAATCCTAATTTTTTTTCATGATTTTACTCGCTTCCAATATAATAATACCTAAATAATTTGTGACTAGTATACAATGTGTATTATGTATACATTTAGAGACATTTATTTTAATTTTCATTTATTAGAAAATAACTAATTTTATTAAATATGCATTAGATAAAATATTTCAAAATGTGTTATCGAAGCCACCTGAGCTCAAATTATTCTCCGCGTTGTATTGGTGTTTGTGTATTTCTTACAACTGGTAAGTATACAAATGTGATTAATCCTCGTTTGGTAAGTAGGTATATTCTCAACAAAGAAAATTGATTTCGTAATATTTTTTATGACGCGTCGTTATTCGACCGACGCATTACTAACTGTTGCTAATCGTTCTATAGGTAGGTACAGTTAGTATAGTCAGTCAGTCACTAGTTACAGTGCCTAGGCATAAATAATCGCCATGTCGAACAAATGCGGCGATCTTGATTATGATGATGATTATAATATTACAATATCCTACGATATTTGTCTTTAATTATAATATTAAATACTGTAGTAATATATTTCTACGCGCTGTGGACCGATGATGAAAACTTTCGATGAGAACTAAAAAACTTTAGTAGAAACCTTGCACATTCGGTGGTTGTGCAGCCCTTTGTAATCTTGACACGTGTTTCAAAGATTTAAGCACGAGTTGTAAGGCCGGAGGGACATTAGTGAAAAACTGAAAAACGATGGACGACGTGTGTGCGTATGTCGTGTGCACGGTGTATACTCGGCGAGGGCACTGCCTGGAACTCTCCGCCGTGTCGCAGTAATCGTTCGTAAATGCACACGCACTTGTCTCGACTCTTTTGGTCGGTGGTGGCGCGTACGATATATTTTATTCATCTTTATCGTCGTCCGCCGTCAGGTGGGTACTCACGATTTGGGTGAACAAAAAATCGATCGTACGTGTTTAAAAACCTTCTTAGACGTCTTTTTAGGTGTGTGTGTGTGCGCGTATGTCACTACGGCGTCGGCAGCGACTGAGTTACGCGTAGTAGTCCCACACGTGTGTGACTCAGTGCACGACAACCACACACATTATCGCGTTTGACGTTTTTCACGCTCATTTTTTTTTCATCCAATTGCCTTCCACCGGAATGGTTTCGCCCGGTGATTATTTCTTTAGTAATCTGAGGTCGTCACGTTCGTCTCGTTGCTTTTGTTTGTCTGGAAAAACGTTTTTAGTTTTAGAACAATATAATAATTTCAGATTAGAGATAAATAATAATATATTTCTATAATACGCTCGTAATGGTACAGCAGCTACTTACTGCGACAGTGGGACAGAGCTCTGCAGCACTATTGTGTTTATATTATTATTATTATTTGTACGTGTATATAGTAGTGTGACCCGTGTGTTCGATATTTTTTTCTCCGTGTATAATATATTATATTATGTGCGTTTTAATTTAATGGGTTTTTATCGTCGACAACAGCCTCAGGGGTTCCCCGCTACACCCGCTCCAGCTACCGCTCGACGACGCCGTGCACCTGTGGTCTGGCTGACTCGCTCGCTCTCAGTTCTCACTCACGGGCACACACGATACTATTATTATTATTATATTATAGTGTTTGTTGTTGTCGTCGTCGTCGTACGTCGTATTATATTATAGAAGTAGTAGTGGTTGCGTAAAACGAATACGATATTTCGTCATCACTTGGGGGATCACATGTGGTCGTGTGCCGCCGACTCCAATCTTTACAGTAGTAAACGTGCGTCGTTTTAACTGCCGTTCTGTCCTTGGTGCCTTTAATAGTATTAATATCGTTATCAATTTGGAAAACGAAAAAAAATTTCTCCCGTGTTGTTACTTGTTTCCGCTAGCTTGTTAAAATATAATCCATATTAAATCGTTATTACTACGTATGCTTAACAGTCGTCAAATACGTGTCGTTATAAATTATAATGTATCGATATATTTTTGATTACTACAATCGTTATTTCGAGGCGGATAGCATCCGTCGACTGTCCGCTCTCAAGTTCGTATAATTTATTATTGTATGTGTGTGCACATGTTACACTGTCATTACTATTCGACATAATATAGCTGGGGACTTGGGGTTCTCTTAAACTCCTTATGAGAATGTAGGGGGGGACAACAATTCATGATGAATATCGAAATCCGCATTTGGTAAAACCAAATATAATAATAATGGTGTTGTGAGCACAAGTATAAGGTGGCCAACGGTGACGACGATTTGTCCTCCTGGTGCGTCTGGGAACCACTTGTGATGCGTCCTGAAACTCGTCGGTTGGCTCCGGACAAACACCGCACCTCTGCCCGCGACGTTTCTGTTTTAACCCTCCTCTCCCACCGCCGATCATCGTTTTTAATATTTTGATCGTGTCCTTTTACACTCCAATGGATAACTACTGGTTTAAATGTTTAGTCTCCACTCTTCAGTGTTTGTTTGTGGTTGGATGTGACCTGTTGGGTCGCGTTATTTTACCCCTCTGCGGTCCAACAATGACGTCGTTGGTGTTTTATTTTCTCTAGAGTTACCTTCGAGACTACATGATACATATTATTTAAAAGTTCTGCAGGTTTTTTTCAATTCGAAATAGAAGGAAGAACAATCATTAATTTCCTCTTTGAATTCTTAATATTTAGGTTAGTAGTGTGTAACCTATTTATATTGTTTACTTATTTCTAATTGACTAATTATGTTAACTATAATACACCTAGTCATTACATCCAATTATATGCGGTTAAATTGTTAAGATTTAGAACAATATTATAATTATAACCAATATAGTAATACCTATGGGCTATGACTATCATTTATAATTGCTGTCTGGTGTCTTAGTATCTGGGCATTTAATGTAATGACTAATGATTATTATTTGATAATTTAAAACTAACCTATCATCTAGTAGATACCTATATGGCTATACATGTATAGTTTAAATTCAAATTATTTTTAAGTAATAAACATGTAGGTTGTACTGGTTGTAGGTATATAATAATGAAATAATATTATGTAAATTTTAAAGTTATAATAATAAAAGTAGTAAATTCTTAATTCATTGTCCTTCATAGATACTAAATTTATATTTGGTACCTACAGTAATGTTAAAATAAATAAAACAATACCTAATTTTGTTGGTTTTGGCAATGGTAAATCATAATTTATTAGCAATTTATTTTATAAATTGTTGAATTTTTATTTCTTCTTCAGTCTTTGTTGGTAGAAACAATGTTGTTGACAAAATAGTGATTGTAATTTTTTTATGGCATGCATCTAATATAGCTATTAGTTTGTCGTTATAATTTATTCAAAAAAAAAAAAATGGTATGGCTTCCTGGTTTACAAATTTTAAATTTAAAAATCCGTATTTGAAAAAATATATTTGATTACTTATGCCAAATAATTTTGATTTGTGTAGATCATTATGGAATCTCCACAAGAAGAGAATGTATCATTAGATTTTGGCTCAACAATCAAGGAAGAAGAGTATCTTTTATCTGTATCCACTGGTGGTTTTTATGAGGAAGGATTTGACGACGACGACGAAGTGTTTTTAGATGATTCACAAAGTATTGATATGGAATCATTATCAGAAAGTCCATCACGTGTTCGTAGAACTTCAGATGTTATTGACTGTGTTGGTGGAAATGTGTCTCCAGCACATATTAAACGTCATAGTTTCCCATCAGCATCTGGTGAAGTCTTATACTCTGCTGCTACATCACAGGCCACAAAAATCACAGAGTTAAATAAATCTAGGCGCACTGAGCTTACCGTAGAGTCACTTGATCAAGGGTATAGTAGCCCTGGTGCACAGTCTTCTTCAGGCAGGTCTTTTAAAGGAACATGGTTCAGGTTTAGTAACAGTAATGACCCTGATTCTGTTGATGCACGACCACTTCAAAAACCAGAAGTACAACAAACATCCAATTCAAACAGGTAACAAGTAAAAATTTTAACTAAATCTAATCTATTTGTACATATGGTTTTATTTTGATAATATTTTATAGCAAATTAAGTCCTGGTTTTAAAAAATCCGTCCTAGAAATTGTAATGCCTATTACTAAAGATGCTACAATTTATAATATGGATCACGAATATCGAGGTACCGCTGTTATCATAAATAACGATATTTTTGATAGTCCTGACTTACCCGAACGGCAAGGTTCATGGAAAGATGTTGAAGAGTTGGAAAGAATGTTCTATCGTTTAGATTTTAATGTTATGGTTTGGAATAACTTGTACCACGAACAACTGACTGATAATTTGAACGAATGTATGTATTATTGTATTAAACTATTTAAGACTTAGAATTTAACTTTAGAGGATGTTTAACAGGGCACTGTTTGTTTTCTCCCTTTGCCCCACGCGCAACATAGACTAAACTCGTTTACGCAGAATAATTTTTTTTTTTATCTTTTTAAGTAATCTAAGAGTAAAATCACCCATTACAAAAACGATAGAGAATAATATTTTTTAGTGTATGACATTGGTTTGTGTAAATATTGTCTCAAAATAATTTAAACATAACTTACCTAAACAAACAATTTTTTTTTTTTTAAGTTATACCAAGTCAAATAATAATAAAATATAAAACCGTAATGTCATACCCTCATAAAAATTATACTTTATAATTTTTGTACTAAGTGATTTTTGCTTTAAGATTAATCCAAAATCATAAAAACCAATTTTATGTGAAAATGTATTATCTATATTGCACTTGGGTCTGAGAGAGAAAATAAATATTGCGCTGACATCTTCTTAAATATTTATTCTTATTACTTATGGACTACATTTTACAGTGGCTAATTCTGATCATTCTCAAAATGATTGTCTCGCTATTGTTGTGTTGACACACGGAATCAGTCAATCATTTATTTATGCCAGAGATAATCCATACCCAGTTGAATTCTTGTGGAATTTGTTTACTGCTGATAAGTGTCATACACTAGCTGGAAAACCTAAACTATTTTTTGTGCAGGTAATTGTATAAGCCGTAGAATCAAATGGTAATTGTGTATTCTAAGCTTGTTCTTGTTTTTTGTTTCAGGCATGTCGCGGAGAAAGGCTGGATGCTGGTATTACAATGAGAAAAGAAATAAAAACTGAAGTAGATTCTTCTTCTGGCTCATACAAAATACCTAAACATGCAGATTTCTTGATTACTTTCAGTACTTACGATGGTAAATTTCAACATTTGGAATATCATCTTTATATTCATACAATACCTTACGATAATTTTTTTTTAAGGTTATTATTCATTCAGGCATCCCGAGAATGGCACATGGTTTATTCAGAGTCTTTGTTCTGAAATGAACAAACATGATCATAGCAAGAGTGACTTGCTAGGAATTATGACTCGTGTGTCTAGACGAGTTGCCTTGGATCATGAATCTTACAATCCAGAGAAACCATGGCTACACAGGCAAAAGCAGATACCAACTATTCACTCGATGCTCATTAGAGATGTATTTTTTAAGCCTAAAACTAAACCTCCATCTGAACCAATTGTATTAAGAAATCGTGAGTTTTGATGTTTTATATTATCTTAAAATTAAAATATGGAATGCAAAATACATTTTGTCTAAACACTTCAATTCGTGAAGAAACTTTTTGCTAGATAAATTTCTTTTTTATCTAAAGACATATTGTTTATGTGATACTAATCTATTTCACCTTTGATACAGTAATTAATTTTGTTACTTGATGTTTTGAACAAATTTACTTTGTTATGCAAAATACATTTGTGTACTTTATACTCTATGGTTGAAGTACTAGAAACATTTTGCTATATAAATTTCTTTGTTATCCAAAGACAACCCTATTATTTGAGTGTTATGTCTATTTCACCTTAGATACAGTAATTTTGTAAACTACTATAATGTTCTAAATTCATAAACAAATTATTTTGGTCAGTACTGTTATGCAAAATACATTTGTGTACTTTATACTCTATGGTTGAAGTACAAGAAACATTTTGCTATATAAATTTCTTTGTTATCCAAAGACAACCCTATTATTTGAGTGTTATGTCTATTTCACCTTAGATACAGTAATTTTGTAAACTAATAAAATGTTCTAAATTCATACACAAATTATTTTGGTCAGTACTGTTATGCAAAATACATTTGTGTACTTTATACTCTTTGGTTGAAGTACAAGAAACATTTTGCTATATAAATTTCTTTGTTATCCAAAGACAACCCTATTATTTGAGTGTTATGTCTATTTCACCTTAGATACAGTAATTTTGTAAACTACTATAATGTTCTAAATTCATAAACAAATTATTTTGGTCAGTACTGTTATGCAAAATACATTTGTGTACTTTATACTCTATGGTTGAAGTTCAAGAATCATTTTGCTATATAAATTTCTTTGTTATCCAAAGACAACCCTATTATTTGAGTGTTATGTCTATTTCACCTTAGATACAGTAATTTTGTAAACTAATAAAATGTTCTAAATTCATACACAAATTATTTTGGTCAGTACTGTTATGCAAAATACATTTGTGTACTTTATACTCTTTGGTTGAAGTACAAGAAACATTTTGCTATATAAATTTCTTTGTTATCCAAAGACAACCCTATTATTTGAGTGTTATGTCTATTTCACCTTAGATACAGTAATTTTGTAAACTAATAAAATGTTCTAAATTCATACACAAATTATTTTGGTCAGTACTGTTATGCAAAATACATTTGTGTACTTTATACTCTATGGTTGAAGTACAAGAATCATTTTGCTATATAAATTTCTTTGTTATCCAAAGACAACCCTATTATTTGAGTGTTATGTCTATTTCACCTTAGATACAGTAATTTTGTAAACTACTATAATGTTCTAAATTCATAAACAAATTATTTTGGTCAGTACTGTTATGCAAAATACATTTGTGTACTTTATACTCTATGGTTGAAGTACAAGAAACATTTTGCTATATAAATTTCTTTGTTATCCAAAGACAACCCTATTATTTGAGTGTTATGTCTATTTCACCTTAGATACAGTAATTTTGTAAACTAATAAAATGTTCTAAATTCATACACAAATTATTTTGGTCAGTACTGTTATGCAAAATACATTTGTGTACTTTATACTCTTTGGTTGAAGTACAAGAAACATTTTGCTATATAAATTTCTTTGTTATCCAAAGACAACCCTATTATTTGAGTGTTATGTCTATTTCACCTTAGATACATAATTATAATAACTTAAATTTGTGTTCTATACTTTTTATGCAAAAACATATCTGAGTACTCATACTTTATAAGTCTGTTTGAAGTACAAGCAACTTTTTGCTATATTAATTTCTTTGTTATCTAGATGCTATCCCATTAAGTGAGTTAAATCTATTCTATTTCATCTTAGATACCTACATTAGGTAAATTAGTATAATATTTTTATACAAGTTGTTCATATTCATTATTATCTAAATCCAAATGCTAATTTACTGTAATCCTTCCGAATATTTTACATTTGTTATGCTGTTATTTTATAATCTATTAAAAGCAATTAATAAATAACTTTCATATTTAGTCAGTAGGTACTGTATTAAAACCATTTATTTTTTTTTATGACATACATATTGAAAGTTATTATTTAAGAAATTTTGACTTAATATTTTATAATTAACTTGTAGATTAATTAGTTGTTTATTAAATGTTTAATAAGCCCAACTTAAGTCAAATGTTGAAATTTTTAAGCTTATTTATCAATTAATTTCTGTTTATCAAAAAATAATATTGAAAAATATAGTCATAAAATGTTTGAAATGTTTTTTCTCCCTTCCGAATTAGTATAAGTCAACTTGAAGATATTTTCAAAATTCCCAGGCCGTCCCTATTTCACTATTATGAATTGAAAATTTTTTTTTTTGAACTTTTGAGCATCACCAACCTTAGCATTTTGTAGGGGTTACGGTTGGTTTTAGGAACAAATGTTCAGGCGAAAGGATTTATCTAGGTGGTCATTCATCCAGCATTCAGACTATACTTGACTACAGCACATATTAGTGACTGCGTCTAACTATCCCCTCTTCACCAATATGTTTTTCAGACGTCCAGTTTAACCTAACCCGACAAAAGATTATGTGTCAAAATGTTGTCTGGCTTTTTTCTCACCATCCCAAGCCCAAGTTCACTTTTGTTAATATTCATCTTAAACATTTGACAAAAACTATACATTTTAAGTGTATAATGATAGTATATATTAAATAAATATATTATTTTATGCAATTTTTATATATATGTATATTATTTGTTTACAGTCAGAATCTGAGTGCCTTTAAAATTATACTCGAAGCAGAAAAATGCAAACTAACTATAAAACAAAATCTGCAGCAACAGCAAGTTTGCACAGTAATGTATTTTACCAGTGTGAAATTATATAGTTTAATAAGTTTGTGCCCACATAAGTGTTCAAAACATTAAAATTGTAAGAATTCAAATTTTGTGATAAAAAAATGTCTTTTTAAGACTGAATCAATTTTGACTTAAAATTAACTTTTGATGAAAAAAATAATGATCTTCATAATTGTTGGTATTGTTTTTTATAAAACATTTATTTTAAATATTTTAAGCATTAACATATTCTTCATTTAGTTATAATAACATCAATATTTCATCCAACTTTAATTTAAATTAAATTTAAAATTATTTCTGACCTACGTTATGATTTCCTTTATTATAATAGATATATTATTTATTTCTGATTGAAATATTTCCTAATTTTAATTGACAAATACTTTTATCGAAAATTAGAACAAAAATCATAATTTAATTATTTACTTATTATATTATAGACCAAGAGTTATTTGCTCATATTATTAATTAAAACTTTTTTTAAGTTTAAAGTATTTTAGATATTTTTAAGTATTACTGTTATCAGGCATTAAGTTGCCCATTATGTATGTCTTTCATAAATTAAATGTTAAGTATTATTTAATGTTTTTTTTTTTATACAATATATAAAGTAAGTGAAAAGTGATATTGTTGTCGCATTTAGTATATATTTTAAAGAAATATTTAGTAACAATTTTTTTTTTTCTATATCATGTAATTTTTAGTGTTTTGTTGCTTTTGAGTTTAGCACATTTATTATAATTCTCATTTTTAGTTATATTATTACATGTTATACTGCCTATAGTATTTTTTCTTTTCTTTTTGTTATTATAATTTTTTTATTTGGAGGACATTAGTTATTTCTCATGTACTATTGTTGCATTAATTCTGATTATATGCAATTTTAGTATCTTATTACTCAAAATGAAAATTGTAAATCTGATTTTTTTATATTTATACATAAATTTATAAATTTATACCTATAAATTTGATCTTGGGAACTGAATAATGTTGTACTTGCTTTATTATTATTAAACTAGTACATTGTTTTGTGATTTATTGATCTCTCCCTTCTAGTTCAAATATATAATTATAAATTTTTTTTTGCTATTCATTATATAATTTATTACATAAGCAATTAAAAGACAAAAAATAAATTTGTCATATACTATGTACTACAACAAGCCATTATCACTTTAATCTAAAACTCATAAACATATATTTTCATTTATATAAAGTTTACATATTATATTAATAATCTATTTATTTATACATTTATAGATACACAATCTATGTAATAATGTGGTTTGTTGTATGAATTAATGTGTACTCTCAGAAATGTCTGGTTTTGATGATTTTTTGCCTTCAAATAATCATAAAGACTAAATTTAAATTATTTTTTTATGTGCTCATATTTTTCATGCTATTATTAGTATTTTATTATGTGTATAATAAGAGAAACGTAATACATTTTATTTTTTCACCAGTTATTGACATCAAGTTTACTATCAAAATTACATAACGTGCTTGAGCTAAGTGTTTAGTATTCTATTTTTATTTGACAAAAGCGATAATTTTTTATTGTAATGCCATAAGTTAAAATTATGGATTTAAAGAATAATGTGTTCATCTTAATTAATAATTAGTATTACATTAATGCATTTCTTATTTGATTCACGTGTTTATAATATATTATATTAAATAAATTGTAAAAATTATATTTTGGACTTATTTTTTGTAATTTTTCCCATTGACTTTTTTCAGTTATTATTTAATACTTACTTCACTTGAAATTATATTCAAAACTCGTAGATGAACAGCCATTGTTGCGCTATTAAAACGACTTAAAATATAACTTGATATATAATTAGTAATTACACAATTTATACATTTTTAATTTAAAAATAAAAGAAATGCATCAGGAAAACCTTTTAAGATATACCTTATACTTTATGATACAAATGTTTTATGTTTGAACTGAACACGTAATGCTTATTCTATTTATAAAAATATTTCCATTTTTGCCTTAACGGCATTTAATATGCACAGTATTTTTAATGTTTCTCTATGGCTACCAGAGTATTGTTTATATAATCAGAAATATTAATGACAATTTTATATATTTTCTTATTTTCTGGTATCAAAAATTATGATTACAGATTAATACCAATTTCCTACTTTATCAAATTATAAAATAAATTATTTTGTGTATACAGGGTGTCCCGTGAGGATTTACTCATTGCGATTTCTCTTGAAATAATAGAGATATCGTAATTCTGTTTTCTTATTAAGACTCATAGAGTTAAGCACTACAAATAACTAATTTTTTATTTTTTTTTTGTTTTGGTAAAAAAGTTAAAAAAATTATTTTTTTAATTATTTATTTAAAAAAATATTGAAGATTGCCATTTTGTAGAGTTCATTTTTCTGAAAATATTGACGTTTCAACATTTTAATTTCATTAATTTCCTGATTTTTAATAATATTTTTAATTATTAAGTAAAACGGCAGAAAACCGGTTTTTGTCCGGGCGACGAGTCCCCCTCTACGGCTAATAGGTATATCCTCACGGGACACCCTGTATATCAACATTTTTTTGCTATATTTGAATTCAATGATAAATAATCGTATATGAAAAAATATTCTGAGTGGAGTTTGTGTCAGCTTAACATATATTTTGTATACAAATCAAATTTAATAGTTATCTAAATATCTAGCGTGACTCCGGAGAACTTTTTCTTTTTGATAGAGATAAAAAAACTTTATGGAAACCTGCTATTAAAACTTCCTTATGTTAGCTATGAAAAAAAAACTTATAAGAATTGGGAACTGAAAAATAATTTGTAAAAATGATCATGGCTATATAAACAGCTCAACAAAAGTCAAAATTGTTTGAAAATCTTACAATGTATGGAATATGCTAATATAAATATTTGGTGAACAATTCATGAGTCTACGGCTATTTGTTTTGGAAATATAGCAAAATATCAATAATCGATTAATGGGAATTGGTTAATAAAAAATTGCTCATAAAAAAATATTAATTAATGTTACTTTCGGTAAACGTTTTTTTTCTGTTAAAGGTAGGAACATATTTTGTAGGGAATCTTCTATCAAAATGTTTGCTATGAAAGGAAAAACTTTTATGAATTCTAACTGAAAAATAGTTTGAAAATTTTCGACAGTTTGATGAATTTTATGAAAATTTGAACTTTAAATGCATATACAAATAATTGGGCCTATGTATTTTTCAACTGATATGGTAACAATGTATCAGTTACCTTGTACCTATTAAAATTTCAAGCTTTTTGACCAAACAAATACATTTTTATTGACAACTATAAAAGAAAATTTTTTTTAAAATGTCCGCAAACAGCTAAAAAAAAGTAAAATTTTTTTGAAAATTTTATTGTGTATAGAAAATGCTTACCAGTGAAAATGTCATGTGTCTACAGTCATTTTTTATACAACAAAATAAGAAAATCGCTACATTATATAAGAAATCGAGTGAATATCCAAGGTTGGAAAAATATGAACTTTAAATGCTCATAAAAATTTAATTTGACTTTTAGACATATTTCTGTCACTAAAGGTAAGTAAACTTATGAGGAATCTTGTATTACATTTTCAAACCCTAGATTTAAAATGAAAATTGTTTTATGTATTTCTAAGTAAAAATAATTTGCACATTTTTGTGATTTTTACGTATTTTGTCAAGTACTGAACTTTGAATGCTTGTAAAATAAAATTGAGACTGAATTTTTAATATTTTTCAAAGGTCATTGCAACAAATTTTATAGGAGCCTTGTATTAATTTTTCAGGCTATTTTTACTCCACAAATAAAATTTTTGGCATTTATGGAAAAAAAAACTAAAAAAATTTTGAACTGAAAATTTTCGTAAACAAATATTTGAAAATTTATCATCGCATTATAATAAAATGTTAATATAAGCAACCAGTGAACATTTCATGTATCTTCGGTCATTTGTTTTAGAGTTACACCACAGAATAGATTTAATCTATTCTGTGGTACCAAAACAAACCGATTTTACCAAAAATTTTCGGTTTTCCTTAATTTTTTTTTCTCTGCGCTTTTGAAACTATTAGAAATTATTTAATTTTTAGTTTTTACCCCACAAAGTACCAACTAGATTCACTTTCCTATCATGAAAGATACTGTTGAAGAAAATCTAAGCAATTTTAAATATAGCAAAAATTAAAAATATTATGGTACCCGGTAAAGTGAATATTCTGTTCTTAGGTGACCAGATTATTTAATCGTGGTTTCAACCATGAACATATTATAAATGAGTTTCGACCACGATGTAGAGAAGATCTTCTCTACATCATGATTTCAATTTCAACAATAAATCTTTATCAGTTATGGTGATAAGAGGTTGGAAGTGTTAGAAACCATTGAAACTTTAAACGATGACGAATGAACAGTTAAACTGTGGTTTACATTCAAATCAAAAGCAAAACCAGATAAATCACTGTTGACTGGCGTATTCAAAGAATACTATACTTCGAATAATTAACTGCTTCAGACTTTCAGTACCTTTAAAGCCTTTAATAATTATGCATTGTAATTAATTTAATAGTTATAATTCGCTGTTTCAAAGTTTAAAATGTCTTCAATTGAACCTAGCCCGCAGCACATATCTGCACTTAGGAAATATTTTGGACATTCTACATTTCGGTCCATGCAATGGGAGATCATATATTCAGTTTTAGAAGTAAGACGTCTAGACTGACTGTCCTGGTTTCCGTCTATTTGTTGGTATAAAAATAATATGTAAATTTAATTTTCAGCAAAAAAGAGACGCATGTGTGGTTATGTCTACTGGTTATGGAAAAAGTCTTTGTTATCAGTATCCAGCAGTTTATAGCAAAGGCTTAACCATAGTTGTTTCCCCGTTAATATCGTTAATGAAGGA